CTACATGAACTTGCATTTGAGCCTGCATTTGTGTGCATGTGATTGTTGAGCATTTCTGCTTGTATGTACAGATGTCTGATGACAGGTGTGTGAGTGTGCATGTGCCTGTGTGTTCCTGTGTATCCTGTGCATGTATATGCACACATGCATATGCCCGTGTGTGCTTGCCCATGTGTCCCTGTGCCCACATGTATGCGTGTGTACTTATGTCTGTGTGAGTGCCAATACAATTAGATGTGTGTGACTGGTTTATCTGTCATGTGCTGAGACACAGTGGAGGGGGCAGGCGAAGGTCCCCATCTCAGGCAACTGCAGGGAGTGGGTGAGAGGGGCCCCAGTCCTCAGGGCTCCCTGAGGCTTGTAGCTGGGTCTCTCCCTCCCTCCAGGCATCGCGTGGGAATCTTTGGGCCTCCTTTGGGTTCCGGGCAACCAGGACTGTGCAGGCCAAGCTGCTAACTGGGGTTGTGGTGCAATCTGCCAGCTGAGCCCCTTCCGGAGCTGTAGGTTCCTCTAAGTGTGGGGAAGCTGCCCTGTGCAACCTCCCCTGCCTGTCTTGGTGCCTCCCAGAGGGCAGGACACACCTCCAGGCCCACAGCCTCACACAGGAAGCTTGGGCAGCGGGGGGCAGGCGAGGAGGGAGGTGCCATGCTGGGCGCCCCGCCCTGTGCTGGTGGCTCTCTGACCCTGCTGCACTAAGGTCTTTTCACTAACAGCCCCGGGAACATCGCTGGGACCTGGGGCCCTGCAGCCACAGCCATGTTTGGCAGAAAGCGCAGCGTCTCCTTTGGGGGCTTTGGATGGTGGGTGACAGATGGGAGGGTTGTGAAAGGGATGGGGGTGAACTTAGAGGCAAAGTCTTGTTGAGTGCCGTGGCTGCCTGTGGGAACAGAGGGTCTCAGGTGGAGCCTAGGCCTGGGTCTGTCAGGGGCACTTTCAGGTGCCTGGGCAGGGTTGAGATGGAGGATTCTGGTGGGAACACCAGAGAGTGTAAACTTTTCCTCTCTGTTCCAGGGGCACAATCTTCTAGGAAATCCAGAAGTTTGGAGCTGGCTGCTAGTGTGAGCATGTGTGTGACTGTAGCTGAATGTGTGTGTCTCTGTGAAGGTGTGTTCCCGTATATGTGTATGCGTGTCTGTGACGATTTGTGAGTATGCATGTGTCCAGGAGTGTGTGTGCACAGGTGTGCGTGTTGTGACTGCGTCAGCCGGTCTGTGTGACTGCGTGCGAGGTGTGTGCTGCCTGGGTGGGTGTGCCTATGCGTGTGACCATGTGTGTGCTCGTATTTCTCAGCAGGAGCTCGTCTGCATCTCTGGCTTTCTGTATCCGTCTGGGCTCGTGTGTGTGTGTGTTATGCTCCTGTCTGTGCCATTGTTGTGACTTTGTGGCAGGGAGAGTCTGTGGCCTGCTGGGCCTTGGGCTGCCTCTTCTCTGGGGGGTGGGTTGTGAGAGGAGGGGGCAGGCCTGTCTCCAGATGTCTCACTCTCCTTCCCTCTTGTACGCCCGGCAACCCACCCTAGCTCTGTGGGAGCCTGAGCTGCTAGGTCTGTGCTCCAGGCTCCTGCGTGGCCCTCTGGTCTGCCTTTAACCTGTAAGTTTCTGTATGGGACAAGGCAGAAGCCCGTTCTTTCCAAAGGGGCCAGAAATTGGGGAGACTGAGGTCAAAGGCTTTCTCTGGTAACCAGCTGCTGGCAGCTTCTCCTCAGCTGAGGAACGGAGTCTAGTGGTTTTCATTATCAGTTTCCTTTCAGCTTCTGGGCCTGGGGTGTTGGCAGACTGGGGAAGGGTGTCAGGGTGTCATGGTGTGGAAGCTGGTGGGCCAATGGTGGTGGCACGTAGGGTGAGGGAGGGAGGGAGGGAGGCATGGGAGGGCTGGGAGAGATGGGCTCTGTTCCTCCCATGAGTTACTCTCCCGCATATGCGTGCAGCTTATTTCCCTTTCCCCCTCTTTGAGAGCACTTTGCAATCCATCCTCTGCAGGAAGGGAGTGTGGGCATCCTGTGTTTGGCAGATGGGCAGTGAGGACGGGACAATGCCAGGGTGGCACGGTGTGACCTCGTGCCTGCTCACAGCCCTCCCTGAGGCCTGGGCCAGAGGCTGCTGTCCCGATAGCAGGGTCTGGTTTCGAATGACATTATCAGCTTCCTGGTCTGGGAAGGTGTATGAGGCTGGGCTGTGATTCCTGAGGGCCAGGGTCAGGCAGAGATCGTGCCCTCCCAGGTCCACTTTTCTCTGGGAGGTGTGGAGCAGACAGAGGGACTGTCATCAGAAAGCTCCCTTTGTAAGGTGCCAGGTCTCGGTCTAGTCTCATCCCGAATGAACCCCCAGCCCCAGGTAGCAGTGCCTTGCATTAAGACCCACCACTCCAGAGCCCTGAGGTGTGAGCCTGGCTAGGTGAGGGGAGGATAGTAGTATGGAGGCATATACGTATGCAGGAACGCACCTTCCAGGGCTGCCTTTGAGGCAAAGGTGAAGGTGGGGGGAGAGATCCCCATGTCCATGAGGCTGGGGTTCTGGGAGGGCAGGCCTCATGCTGTCGTTTTCACTGTGGTCTCTTGGACGCTTGGTGCATCAGACATGCTCAGTAGATGCTTGTGGACTACGTGAAGTATTTTGCACACAGCAGGCACTCAGTTGGGGCCCACTGAGTTTGAGGAGATGGCAGAGCCTTCTGGTGAGGCTGTAAGGCTAAGGTGGCAAGAAAGAGGGCCAGACTGGAGTCTGGGTCTCACCTGCGGATGGCTGTCAGCTGGGAAGGGGCATCCCAGTTGGTCGGGACTAAGTTACAGACTCCTGGAGCCCTAGTCCCTCCAGATAGTGAACAGACACTCTGGAAGTGGCATTTTTTTTTTTTTTTTTGTCATTTTTGAGACTGGCCGTACCACGCTCAGCCAGTGAGCGCTGTGAGCGCACCGGCCATCCCTAAAAAGGATCCGAACCCGCGGTGGGAGCGCTGCTGCGCTCCCAGCGCCGCACTCTCCCAAGTGCGCCACGGGCTCGGCCCTGGAGGTGGCATTTTAAAAGCTGCATTGGCTGCAGGCTGGATGACTACTGGCATCGAGGGCAGACAAGCTGATGAGACCGAGTGGGATGGGCCAGGGAGGTAAGAGCACCTGGGGAGACCAGCTCCCTGGAAGGGAGAAGCCCGGCCTTCCAGCTGCTGCCCCATCTCCTGTCTCAGCCTTGCCTAAACCACGGGCCCTGCTCTACCGGGGCCCCGCCCGGTGTGGGAATCCTGGTGGGCAGGCTGCCGGGCAGGTGTGGATTGGGCTCAGGGGCCGCTGTGACCCAGGGTGACAACAGGCGGCGTGTTGGTCAGGGCTGATCAGGCAGAGGTCAGGAGGGCACACACCAGTGGTCTAAGTTCCAGTGTTGGCTCCACCTTGACTATTGAGGAACTTGAATGGGACACTTCCCCTCCTCTGGGTCTCAGTTTCCCCATGTGTCAGTGGGGAATTTCTGCTTTACAGACAACACAGGGATGCTGTAAGATGTAAAAGCAAGTGCTTGAGAAAATGTAAGTAAGGGCTTATTTTTAGGGGTTATAGTCGAGTAGTTCTGGGTCACAAATATTGCTACAGAATGTGGGGGATCTGACTCCTGCTCAGATCTGGGGATCTGGTGGGTTGAATGGAAAGGAGGAGGGTCTGCATCCAGAGGGGGTGGAGGGCCCAGGATGATACCCTCTGGGACCAGTATTGGAAGCCCCAAGGAAGGGGCCACGGAGGGGATGCGGGGAAGAATCAGGGAGAGATGTGGGCCAGGACCCTTGGGGTGCAGTTTGTTTCGCTGGTAGGAACTGAGATCAGAAGGTGCTGGGTGCAAGAGAAAGGGCCCTGCCCCTAGCTCATGGGCTCAGGGCTGACTCGTGATGGCTGGGGCAGCTCTGGGTCCTCACCCTGTGGCCACGACACCTCTCCTTTCCCTGCGGGCCCCAGTAGTCATGTGTATGAAAAGCTTGAGGCAGAGCCGAGCTGGCTAGACAGGGTGCCTGAAAGAACTTCCTAGGGTTTCAAGCATCCTGGAGGTGGTGATGATTTTAGTGACAATGATAGCGATGTTGACACTGGTGGTGATGACACTGATAGTGATGGTGACACAGATTATGGTGGTAACACTGATAGTGGTGGTGACAATGGGGTGGTAGCATTGGTGCTGGTGGCACTGGTGGTGATACTGGTGGTCGTGACCCCTAAATAAGAGGAGACACAGACAGTGGGAATAGTGCCCACTGTTCTGTCTCTGTGGGGGGTAGGGACCCCTTTTTGCCAGCATAAGGGCTGGCATATGGAGGGGTAAAAATAGAGCTCAGCGATGCTGCCTCCTCTTGCAGCGAGGGTGACACAGGCTGGGGGTGGAGGAGCCGGCTGCTGGGACAGTCAGCGGCAAACATGGTCTTCTCTGCTCTGTACTCCTGTGTCTGACAGAACCCCACCTGCTGGTTCTCCCAGGAGCCTGCTGTCGGGTTCTGTCCCACGACGGGGGGTCTGCCCTGGATGAACTGGCAGCTCCAGAGCAGGAGGGTCCCTGGTGCTGGGGGTGCTGGGCTGCTTGCATCTGCCCACAGCAGAAGCCCAGGAAACCTTGATGTGTTGATTGTGTACCTGCTGGTGACCCATGGCTGGATTGCAGAGTCCCCTTGTGGGGATAAGAATTATAAAGGGAGAGGCTACATTCAAAGTGCTTAAGATCCCTGGGTCTGGAGTCTGATACTTGGATTTAGACTGGGCCAGTGATTTTATCTTCTGAGCCTCAGTTTCCTCATCTCTAAAATGGGGAGAACAGTAGTACCCATCTCACAGGGTTATGTGTGGCCCAGCCCTTCCAGAACTCACAGTCCCTTCTCTCTGGGCTGGGGGAGAACTTGCCCTTGTAGCAGCTGTCCCTTGCAGGGCTCTGCCAGTCTGGTGGTCTGGGCTGGCCCAGGGACCCCTCCCCTGTAGGTGGTGGGCGGGAACCTTCAGCCCTGGCACTGACTGAAGCTCTTGCTTTTCTCTTGGCAGGATCGACAAGACCATGCTGACAAGTCTGAAGGCCAAGTAAGTAGCCACTTCCTGCTCTATAGAGATCAGAGATGATGGCAGACTGGAGCCACTCAGGGCCCTCACTCCCCCTACGCTTTGGGAGACAAGAGTGAGGCTGTCGCGTTTGTCAGATTCCAGGATCAGTCCAGGCGCTTCTTGACTGGAGGAGGCTGGACCGCGCTCTTGATTCCCGGTGTGTCTGGGGAGAGACAGGCGGGAACGGGAGCAGCATGGACCGAATGGTGGGAATGTGTAGAGCACGTGTGACTTTCAGACCACAAACTTAGGAATTTAAGAAAGATAATTGTATTTTCTATCACTTTAATTTTTATGTGAAGCCCCAATCCCATCAGGCTGTCCTGACATTTCCTACCTACTTGTGCCACGCAGTTCTAGGACCTCATAAAACACCCTTGTGTGTGTGTGGTCAGTTGGTCATTGAGTCTACCAGACATATGTCATCCTGGTGAGCCTGACCCTGGGGCTGTCTGAGGCTTCCATGCCAGACTCAGGATCTGGGAACTGTCTGCCTCGGTTTACCATGTGTCCGCTGGTCTGTCTGGGGAAGCCCTAAGCAGGCACACTTCTCTCCTAGAACCTCTGACCTCTCTTCCCTCACCACTTTGTTCTTTTTCCCTCCGTGTTTCTGGCCAAGCCATTTTGTCTGGATCCTGATTCTTTTTCTCCTTCGAGACTTCATCAGACTTTAGCCTCCTCCCGTCTGCATCCTTCCCTTGGGGCAGCGAGTACTGACTAACCACTTGCTCCAACTGAGTGAACTGAAAAGGAGGGAAATTCTAGGAGGAAAAAAGCATTGGTCACTAGCTCAAAATATTCTCCTGTCACATGAATTTGTGAATTAGCTCGTGCATGAAACATTCCTCCCGTGAGTTGCCGTCCTGCAGAGCCAGCTCCTCTGGGTCGTCACTCCCCCATCTCAGCCGAAAGATTTTCCTGGCTGGTCTCCCTCTGTCGTGCCATTCAGTTGCCACACTGACTGTGTATCCCCTAGATACAGGTCCCTGGGCAAAGCACAGCCAGGCTTGAGGGTTGGCATATAGGGGGGTCAAAAGGAGAAGCTTGCACTCTGGTTTGTTTTGTTCAGAAAGGCAAGGGTGGGCAGTTAGCAGGACCGGGATGGAGGAAAAACTGCTCCTGCCCTTTGAAAGCTTTCAGTTTCTCTGTAGAGTTGACATCAGGGGTGCCATGCAGCAGTCCTGGAAGACTGCTGGGAGGAGGTGGCTCCTTTTAAAGATGGGGCAAGACAATGGGCCCCCCTGTGCCTGTGCTGGCTTGGCGTGGTGAGTGCATCAATACAGCCCCATGTTCAGGGCACATCACCTGGAGCAGGACACTTAACTTCTCTGGGCTTCGGTTTCCATGTCTTTTGCCAATGGGCAGAACAATGTCTGGCCTTCCTAGAGCTTCCCAGAGTACATCTGCGTATTGAGTGAGATGCCTGGTGTGCAGCAGTTACTAGAGTGTGTAGTGGTAGGAGCGTTTCTTTTGGTGCCGTCTTGGGACATCTAGTTCAATTTCACAAGCATTTATCAAGGACCTGTTTGTTTTAACTGATAAAGATATTTGTAACCTGGAAGGGAACTGGTTACAGGATCAAGTGAGGGGCTGGGGGCATGGGCCAGTGTTGAGATTGGTACCCCAGTGGGGTCTGAGGGTGAGGTGGTATTGAGATGGTGGTTTAAGACAGTGTGTAGCACCATGTTCCTAGTTTTATTGGTTAAGATTCTTTTGATTGAAACAAAAACCCAGTGTAATCTGGTTAAGCAAAAGCTAGAATTTATGGAAAAGATCCTAGGGTGCCACAGGGAATCCGAGGGGAGCTAGAGCTCAGGAGAGGTTGAACCAGGAACTAGAAACCCATCCCTGTCAAAATCCCAGCTACTTTCTTTGCAGAAATTGGTAAACTCATCCTCAAATTTATATGGAAATTCAAGGATAATCTTGAAAAAGAAGAGAAAAGTTGGAGGAGTCACAACTTCACACTTCCTGATTTTGAAACTTACTATAAAGGTATGTAAACAAGACACTGTGGTGCTGGCATAAAGGCAGATAGGTGGATTGATGCAATAGAATTCAGACTTCAGAAACAAATCCTCACATTTATGGGCAATTGATTTCAAGCAAGGGTACCAAGACAATTCAATGGAGAGAAATAATATTTTTAACAAATGGTACAGGGACAACTGAATATCCACACACAGAAGAATGAAATTGGACCCCTCTCTCACATTATATATCACAATTAACTCAAAATGGGCCCATGACCTAAATGTAAGAGCTAAAACGATAGAACTCTTACAGGGAAACATAGGCGCAAATCTTTATGACCTTGGATAAAGTGATCGTTTCTTGGAAATGACACCAAAAGCACAAGCAGCAACAGTGACAAATAGATACATTGAACTTCGTCACAATTAAAAACTTTTGTGCTGCTAAGGACACCATCAAGAAAGTGAAAAGACCACCCACAGAATAGGAGAAAATACTTGCAAATCATTTGTCTGATAAGAGATTCGTATCTGGAATATATAAAAAACTTAATAATACAAAAACATGTAACACAATTCAAAAATTGGGCAAAGGTTCTCAATAGACGTGTTTCCAAAGAAGATACATAGATGGACAATAAGCACAGGAGGAGATGCTCATTAGCCATTGGGGAAATGCAAATAAAAATCACAATGAGATACCTCTTCACACCCACGAGGAAGACTACAGTAAAAAAGACGGGTTATAACAAGTGTTGTTGGGAATGTGGAGAAATTACTTCTCGATAAAGCTGTGAATAAAAAGAGAGAGACTCTGATTGGTTCCGCCTGTGTCAGTTGTGTGGTCCTGGTTCAGTCAGTTTAGCTGGAGATGGGGTATATGGATGGAACATTGCTGCTGCGGCCACCTGTCTGTGGGAGGGGTTAGTTCTCAGAGAAGAAAGATGGACTGTGGCCTGGACAGACACCATAAGAGATTTTTATCAGCTACCCCCACTACACTTGGGACTCAAGGAAGATCAGTTTCTGTCCCCAGGCCCAACCCCTGCCACTGGCAGTAGCCCTGGGCAGTGGCCCAGGCACCTAGGATATGGTTCTGCTCACTGGCAGGTCAATTAGGCAGCCAAATGCACACTGCGGGGGCTCCCCCAGGCCCTGAGATGCCTCCTTTCTTCTGCCTCTGCTAGGTGAGGCATCTCTCCTTCTACTGATGCATCCTATTGAGTTCTCTGCTGAGCAGCAGGTATTCCTGGACTGTGCTCCCTGATGGCCTTGGCTCCCTCCCCAGGGACCTGGCGTCCTTGACGTGAAGACAGTCAGTCGTGTAAGTCCCCGAGGTGTCCCTGAGGCATGCAGCTCTGGAGATGGAGGTTCTGGCCCCACCATTATTAAGCTCTTACTATGTGCTAAGGTTTCATTGCACCGTTTTCCTTTGGCTTTGCAACCACCTGGTGAAGCAGGTACCATTACTCTCTGCATTTTACAGATGACAAACAGAGACTTGGAGAGTTTAGGAAATGTGTTTAAGGTCATCAGTGGGTAAGCCATGGAGCTGGGGTTTGAATCCAGGTCTGTACTGTGGCTGGTTCCATCCAGGTGGAGCTGAGTGCTTCTCAGCACCTCCCTTCCCACTCTCTTTTCCCAGTGTGCTCGGGGGGCTGCGTATAGAGAGTCCTTGGTCGCAGAATGCACCTCTGCCTCCACAGTGCTGTAGGTGAGCGGGCTCTGTGGTGCCTGAATGAGGAGGATCCCCAGAGGCATGGACTCCACTGCAGTAGGGCACAGGGGTCATGGAGCCACACAGGGACACTGGAGAGGGGGTGGTGGTGGTACCCTGAAGGAGAAAGAGGCTTGGAGTGTGAGTTGGCAGGCCCCAGTTATACCCCAGGCTAACAAAGGGGCAAATCATGTACTCTCTGGGTCTCAGTTTCCCCATCTGTAAAATGGGAGGGCTGGACTGGTGTCCAACCTGCTCTCTTCCAGCGTTGACATTCTAGGAATTTACACTCACAATGGTGTGTGCTCACTGTTAAGTAAACACACACATGTCTTTGAGAGCAGGGGCTCAGTGCATATCATCTCTGGCTCCCTGGGACCACATACAATGCTTGGCACCCCACACAGTGCCTGGCACAATGCGAGTTCTTAGTCTGTAGTAGCTGAATGGATTGATTGTGGGTGGTCATGCTTAGTCCATCACATGCAGGTGGAGGGATGGAGAGGAAGAGGCAGGGCCAGCATGTGGGGCTCCCCCTTCTCCAACCTGCTTTGGGGACTGGCTTGGGACAGAGTCCCTGTCTGCAATAGTTGACTCATGGTCTGGCTAGATTCCCCCAGAGGAGAGCCCAGGTTGGCATGGCCAGGTATCTGGAGTTTTCTCTTGGAGTTCCCTGAAGCAGCATCCAGAGCGGGAGGACCTGAGCTGGGAGCCTCAGAGACTTTCCCCCACTCCTTCTTGCTGCGCCCCCCTCCCCCGTCAGAGACTCCTGCTTCTTTGCTAAAGAAAGAGGTGTGTGTGTGTCTGTCAGCTGCATGGACTCCAGCCACCTGTGATAACTGTTGTACCCAGAGACTGGCCAAAGTGGGACCAAGTGGGAATGGGGATGGTTTAGTGTCTCCACTGATGGGTGCACAGTATCATGCCCACTCCTGATGGGGGGAATATAGAATCCATTGCCTTGTAGGAAACCTAAATTGATGATCCCAAATCATGGTCCCTAGAAATGGCATCTTTGTGTAGGAAGAAAGCACGTGATGGAGTCCAAGGGTGACCATGTCCTCTAATTTCTTCTTCAGAAGAGGGAGGGAGAAGCCCTGCCTAGCTGGGGCAGCATTTCAGTTGTACTGTGGCTTGGCCAGAGGATACCACAAAGCCACCCCTACTCTAAGCTTCAGACTTAACCAGCTAAGAAGAATTCAAAGTCCTGTTAGAAACAAGGGGGCCATGCAGGACAGCATGTCTCAGTGAAACTTCCCTTGCCTCTAGAGCCTCTGATGGCAGCTGCT